ATGTTAGGGTCGGCCTCAGGAGCTTCTAGGAGCTCATCATCACATCCTTTTGCACATGCCTGATTGGAATGAGCAAGATCGTTGAACTCTTGGATCACGGTGGCCAGGAAAGATACGCCTCAACATCTCAACATCACTCTCTATCAGCTCTCCAACAGGGCGGTCATCATCAGAATCAAGAGCCCTTGCCATCTCATATGGCTCTGAATCATTCATAATTTCAACACTATTGGAGCCACGGAATCCATCTCCATAGTGCACTTGCACAGCAACAGGGGGCACATCCACATTATTAGGAATGTCTCTAGCAACATAAGTAGAGAAATGAGGAAAGAATGAAAGAAATGAATGTAAGGAAGGGGGTAAGCTCCCAATAACCAAGCGGATAAGACACTTACTCGGATGATTCTGTGTCAAAGGGATCTCATGAGGAGGATCTGTCACAACAACATGAGTCTGACAAGCATCTCCAACTACCTCGTTGGGGGCAGATTGAGCATCGAGAATCGTAGGTGCAACCTCCACATCCATATCTGGTTCCGGGACGGGAGGGTCGAAGTGTGCCTGCTGACCCATTGGTGGGGAAAACCCATAAGGGATGGGATCAACTAACACCCGACGCACAACCACGTCCAAACATTGCAGCTGGCTCTTCATAGCCGATCTCACATAGTTCTCCCACTGATCCGCACACCCAATTAGGATCATTTGCCTGAGGATGTTGGGAGGAGAACCTAGGTGCAGTACACCCTCAACTGCAATGCCATCATCATCATCTCCAAGGCAATGCAGCTCCTCCCAAGTCCTTGCAACAATCTCACTAAATGAAGGTCTATCATTGAATAGCATAGGCACGCTTTGCATGTCAACAAACTCAACATATCCATAGCGATCGCATTCAACGGTGCCTCCATGATATATGGTCACTAGGTTGTCCATCTAGTTCAAACACATAACGAAACACATGTCCTTTAGTCCAAATTAGACGATAGATAGTACCTAACAAGTACTTTCTAACTACAAACTAAGTAAATAAGATAATAACTACGTGTATATATATACAGTGTACTCACAAAATAGCTATGTCTATGTACCTATGTATCTATGTTTCTATCTATCTACATATCTATCTCACTAACTAAATCAACTACCTGAGTCATCACATTAACTAGTAAATAACAAATAATCGAACTACTACATTACAATCAAAGCTAACTAAGCACCCACATTTGAACCAGAGCCGCTCTATCTCAACGGTCATCTCCCGATCGCTCGTGCAGTCAAAAGATGACCGGACGCACCGCTGATGCGACCTGACGCACATACACGCGGCGTCCGATCATTTCCAGTAAGGGTCCAGAGCCAGAAATTGGTGACCGGACGTGCCCGGCCGAACGTGACCTGACGCACTGCAGCGTCCGGTCTTCACTATCTCACTCACCACGCGCGCGACATCAGCATGCATCGGCAAAATTGCTTTTTGCCTGCGCGTCCGATTGCGCCTCCTGGGCTACTTCTCCTTTGCGCTCGATGACCAGACACGGCCGCTGCATCAGATCCTAGTGTCTGGTCGCTCGCAGGCCTTCTCGGCCAGAGCTGTGCCTTCGCCTATAATTGACCGGACGCGCCCGGGGTGAGTCCGGTCACCCCGCTGCCAACGTCCGATCGTGGACTTCTTCCTCCTTTTCTTTTTCTAAGTCCACAACCACTTCACCCTTGCTTCCAAGTTGCTAACCACAATATGTAGAACTTGTGTGCACGTGTGTTAGTATTTTTTAGAGCATTTTACAAGGGTCTAAGTTAGCACACTAGGTACTTAAATGCATATGCAAGAATCATGTCACCTAGTGGCACTCGATAAACCGTTTAGCCAAAGATTTCCCCTCTTTATAGTATGGCTATCGATCCTAAGTCACTCACACCCTCTATGGTGTCTTTAGTGCAAAACAAAAACCTATCTTATACCTTTACCTTGATCTTCTCGGTTTTTGTTTTTCTCTTTCTTCTTTTCCAAGTTAGAGCCTGATCATCTTTATTTCATGTCCACCTTCATCACCATGGACATCATCTTGCTCTATCACTTGGATTGGACCATCTTTTCTAATTCACACACTTAGATCAAAGGTTAGTCCTTGGTTTCATCAATTATCCAAAACTAAACTAGGGCTTTCAGTAGGTTGTAGATGGTGAGGATGACCGGCCAAGTGTTGTGCGAGCTGCTGAGGTCACCAAACAGATTCATCCCATCGGTACTCAGCGTGAACCTGACATTCCTCGCCTCGTTGCCAAACTTCCGGAACTTGGCGTTGAACCGCTTCCCCTGCTTGCCATCGGAAGGGTGCCACAGCTTGCCATCGTCCTTCGTGCGCTCATTAGATGCATGCCAGGACATCAGCTTGGCATCCTCGGGGTTCCCGAATATAGCACGCAGGTGATCGATCACGGGCAAGTACCACATCGATAGGGCCGGACTTTTCCTCTGTGTGTAACCCTCTTCTTCCTCGTCCTCAGGAGACGGGATCTGCTTCTTTGCGGTACTCTTCTTGGCCGTCTTCTTCTTCTTCGGTCCTCTCTCATCGTCTGCATCCGTGCGACAACCAGCATTCCCCTTGTACCGACTTGCGCCACAGTGCGGACAGCTCTGCAAGTTCTCATACTTGCCCCGATATAGCATACAGTGGTTAGGGCAGGCATGGAACTTTTTAAGCTTCATCGCCACTGGCCGGATCAGCTTCTTCGCTCGCTAGCTATTAGCGGGCACCTTGTTACCCTCTGGATATGTGTCAGCAAGGATACGTAATAGGTCGTTGAAGCTAGTGTCGGACAAGCCATGGCGAGCCTTCAGCATCAGCATCTAGAGGTTAAAACGCAGCACCATCCAGTGCTTCGGACAGTCCTTTTAGAGTGGATCAATTGCCGCCTTCTTCATCTCTCTGAAATTCTCTAGCTACCTCGGGCTCCCAAACAGAATGTCGTCGTGGTCAAGACGGATAGCGATTGACTCAAAAAGGTCCGCAGTCTCGGGATCCCTCACTGGCTCACCACCATCCCCATCATCGTCGTTAGCCATGTCTCGGAGCAGATCATCCATTGTGATGTAATCACGATCTGCATTGTCGCCAGTAGCAGCATTGTCGTGCCCGCCGACCGCTGCTGATGAGGTTTGTTGTTCGGCATTCACCGCCACCGCCGTCGCTGTCGACGAGTTCCCTCCTCCAGATGCACCGACACTCAGATCCTCTGCTTCCCCATGAAACTTCTAGACGGTGTAATCCTTGATGAAACCATACCGGATCAAGTGAGATTTCACCGTGTCATCTCCGTGGGCAAGAAGGTTCTTGCAGCTCTTACACGGACAGATGGTGAGTTCCCGCTTCAGACTCAGACGATGCCTTTTCGCAGCGGCAATAAGCATTGTCACATGATCTAGGAAAGCTGGATGCAGACGATGTCTTGTACATCCATTCCCTGTCCGTGACCGCGAACACCTTGCGCACACAAATAATGAAAATGGCGCATATAAGCAGAGCAGTACGGAAAAAAGACAGCCGAGTAGCTCTAGATCTGATGATTTCTGTCTCCTCCAAATAGATCTTGAGAAAAGCGCCCAAATCATAGAAAAGAGAGGATTGAGGGTTTGAGAGCCAGAATCAACCTCTTGCGGTGCCCCCCTTCACCATATCCAAGGGCAAAACCTATCCCCCTAGAAAATAGCAATTTTTTAGGGTTTTGAGGTCAAAACCCGAAAAAATGAAGGAGAAGCCGTGGGGAAGAAGGATGGGTGAGGCTATATTTATAGTCCACACTTAACCGAGACGGGCACTATAAGAAAACCGCCTCGGTTAATCGTCTATTAACCGAGGCGGTTGCTTTAGACCAAACGCCTCGGTTAATGGATTAACCGAGACGGTTACCCTAACGCAACCGCCTCGGTTAATCTACATTAACCGTGGTGGTTTCTTTACAGCGCCCGCCTCGGTTAATCCCTCGAAGCCCCAAAGTGAAGCGCTGCGCAAAAGTTTTCCTGTAGTAGTGAGACCTTTGTCTGGCAAATCATGATGAAGAATTAGTTTAGATAAGCTAATATAAGGCGGGTGAATGTGTACAATATTTAATTTCTTCTCGTGTAATATGAGGTTTATCACTAAACATGTTTATAGTATAACACAAAAGAGTGAGAGTTTATCTCACAAGAAGTCATCACTCGTCAATCGTGAGCAGTCTGTTGCAATCATGCATACATATGCAGTCCAGTTCTTAAAATTTGGTGTGCTCTTAGTACAAGAGTTGACGAAACCATTTTTTTAGAGAGAATAATTGACGAAACCACGCACTTTGCCCTCCTTTTTTAGACGAACGAGACCATCTGCTCGTCATCTAGTACCTGCACCCACGATAAACTTTCCCGGCCCTTTGGCACACCATTGGACAGTGCCCTTCAAGACGAAGAAACGGCGTATTCCTCTTGTAGAGTTAAATTAAAGAGCATATATTATACGTAAAATAATCGTAAAGCAGCGAGTATATATATTGTATAGAGAAATTTTATAATTAAACTGAAGCAGCTTACGCTGGCGTACGCAAACTAAAGTCACAGAGTAGTAGTACTAGCTAGCTATATAATTAGAACCAAGGTTTTAAATCTGCGGCTATAGCTGTTGCTATAGCCGGCTATAGCTGTTTGAGGCTGATCAGCTATTTATGTTGATGCACAACTTAGCGGCTATAGCCCGCTATAGCCAGATTTAGCTCCACTATAGCTGTTTTAGAGATCATCCGCTAAATACCTTTAGCCGGAGATTTAAAACCTGGATTAGAACACACCTGCAAGCAAAAGCTAGGACCACGCCGAAAGCTGCCTCACGCGTAGCTTCTTCAAGCGGCACCATATAGCAACGAGATCGAGGCAGGAGTGACCCAGAGATCAATCAGCTTCTTCCTGGTCTTCTGGTAGGCGCTGAGGCAGGGAGCGAGGTGCGAGCCAGGAGATCAGATCAGCCATGCAGTTCCACCTGGCGCAGAAGCGGAGGGCGTACTCCCCCGGGGCGGCGTCGCAGCCGAACAGTGGACGGAGGAAGAAGAGGATGGCGGTGGTAAGGCTCGGTGGCGAAGGGAGGAAGAGGAGGCTCTTCGGGGTGCTGCGGATGCGGATGCGCCTGCGGTGGCCGTGGCTCGCGGCGGTGTACCGGCGCGCGCTGCGGCGGCTGAGGGCCGGCTACGAACAGGCCCTGCGCGAACTCGTCGAGGGCAACGTGCTCGTGGGCGCGCTGCACGCGCCCGCCGGCGTCGACTGCGCCCACGCTGCCTCTTTCGGGCCCGTGGCCACCGTCGGGTTCTGAACACCGGTAGATCGACCCGGTGATCGGGCATGCATGGCTTTGATTAGTATGTGGACAAATAAATGTGTACGTGGTGAAGGTTTGAGCCTTTTTTTTGAAAGCCTTCCGGCAAAACTTTATTGATTCAATAATGTAGCAGCATCATTTACAAGTAATTGGAGGATAGAGCTAGGGGGGTCATCTATCCAAACAAAAGAGCTCTTTTCTACCAATGCTAACATTGCTAGCTCATGTGAAACTGAATTACATTCCCTATTAGAGCAACTCCAAGAGATCATGTAAACTTAGATGCTAAAATCCATAATTTAGCCATTGTCTAAAATAAAATACCCACCAAAAAACTAGAGTAACCCAACAGCCTGTCTAAATTTTCGGTTCTCTATTTTTAAAACTACTACACGTCATCGGATTAGATCGCTCATTATCCTTTCAGTTACCAGCGGCTGCCATCTCTACTCCTCGCTTCTCGTCACTTCCCCACCGAGCTCCATTAATTTTGCCATAATAGCGGCAGCAGCAGCAGCACAAAGTGTCGAGATGGGGCGGCGAGATCAAGCCTTGGCAAAGCGGCAGCGGCAGCAGCAGCACAACAAGTGCGCTGACGGGGTGCGAGATCGGATTCAGCGAAATCAAGTGCAGAGTGAGATCATCTTGTTTCCCAGCAGCATGGTGGCGAGCTATTGGGAAGCGGGTGCACGGCAGGAACTCGCGAGAAAAATAATCCACGCACGTGGGAGGACACGGGCGCCGCGCGGGAATAGGTCCGGGGAGGCGGATGGCAAGCCGCTGCGGTGTGCTATTTCTAGCTAGCGAGGAGCACGGGATAGAGCGCTTGCTATTTTAGATCGCTGGATAGAACGACTGTTGGACCTCTATATCTTACCAAAATATCTAAATTTAGATTAGACAGTACAAATAGCCCATCTCTTGGAGTTGCTCTTACAATGGCTAATAGAAATAGCAGCAAACTCTTCCCAGTACTGGCAGCACTCTTCGTAGATTGCTGCTGCCATAGTAGCTGAGAAGCCTCCTTCGTTCATCGTCGTGACAACTTCCAAGCAATCGGCCTGAATCTCCATGCGAGTGCAGCTAATCTGTTGTGCTAGCAAAAGACCATCCCTGAGAGCAAAAGCTTCGGCCATGGGCGCATCCACCACGTGCGGAATATAGTTGTGTGCTGCTGCAATGAAACCGCCAGCTGCATCTCTGATAACTGCTCCGGTGCTTCCTGCTCCCTTAGCTTCATTATAGGAGGCATCAACGTTGATCATTAGAAAACCCTCTGAAGGTTTCTTCCAATTCCTATTAAGCACAATCTGTTTCTTCCCCGCTAACGCATAATTTGTCGTGATATATGCTTATTCGCCAGGATTACTATGCACGGTATACAGCCGTGGAGAGCACGCCACGCAAAGATCTTAATCTTGCTTGGGACTGACAGTTTCCATAGTTGTTTCCAAACTGAACATAATCCTGTACCCCCTGCTACTCCATTATTATTTCTTCCACCATATTTATAATCCCATTGACAGTGATAAGCCGATCTTACTGAAAATAATCCGTTCCTGTTATGGTTCCAAGCCACCACATCCTCGCGCCCATTCAGGAGGAGCGAATCAGCTGCTCGTCCCATCTTCCGTCAATTGGACTGATAAGCTCATTTACCGTGGACACAAGAATGTTGCCTCTAGGTGTAAGAATCTTCATGTTATGGCTACTTGGAATCCAATTGTCATTCCAAATATTGATCTGTGAGCCGTCCCTCACTCGCCAGATGTAACCACGTTTGAAACAATCCAATCCGGCTAACACACTTTGCCATGTGTAGGAGCTGCCACTTTTTAGCTTTGCCTCGAGAAGTTTGCCATCTGGGTAATACTTCGCCCTTAGTACTCTTGCACAGAGGGAGTCAGGATCACAAAGTAGCCTCCATGCTTGTTTTGCAAGCATTGCTAAATTAAAACAATGGAAGTTTCTGAATCCCATACCCCCTTTAGACTTTGGAAAACACAATTTCCACCACGCCTGCCAGTGGATCCTTTTCTTTCCATCCTCGTCACCCCCAATATAGTGTCCGTCATCCCTTTACAAATTTTCTTCGGGATTTTGAAGACCATCATCGCATATGTTGGCACAGCTTGAGAAATAGATTTGATTAGGACCTCCTAAGCTTAATAGCTTCTCCCTCCATCCATTAATTCTTCCACTTACTCTATCAATAAGTGCCTGAAACAGTCACTTCTATCAACTCCCACCAAAGCTGGTAATCCCAAGTAGTTGTCATTGAGTGATTCATTCATGATATTCAGAGCTGATGTTACTTCTTCTCTCATCTCCGTCATTGTATTTCCAGAGAAGAAAATACTCGATTTATGCTCACTTAAACGCTGCCCTGAATTTTCACAATATCTATCCAGTACCTCCCTGAGACAATCAGCATTACGTTTGTCTGCATGCATAAGAATTAGGGAGTCATCCGCAAATAACAAGTGAGAGACCGTCGGAGCTCCTCTACAAACTTTAATCCCTTCCAGGTCACCTCTCTCTTCAGCCTTCTGAATCAGGCATGAAAGACCTTCAGCACCATTAGGAATAAATATGGGAACAAAGGATCTCCTTGTCGGATGCCTCGCGTAGGTATAATTGTATCGGTCTCCATTGAATTAAATCTGACCGTATACTTGACTGAAGATACACACGCCATAATCAGCTTTACCCATCTTGCATTGAAGCCGAGTTTGAGCATGATTTTCTCCAAGAAAACCCACTCGACCCTATCATATGCCTTGTGCATATCTAGCTTTATAGCACATAGTCCACGATTACCTTTCTTCCTTTTGATAGCATTAATACATTCATATGCAATCATGATGTTATCAGTAATGAGCCTACCAGGCACAAATGCGCTCTGCTGTCCACTAATAACAACAGGTAAAATACTTTTCATTCTATTTGATAGCATCTTAGAAATCACCTTATACACGACGTTGCAAAGGCTGATGGGTCGGAATTGCGCCACTTGATCTGGATTATCAACCTTCGGGATCATGACCACCGTAGTATCATTCCATCCCTCCGGTATGACAACCGTATTAACTGCCTGTAGAACCTCTCTCACCAAGTCATCTCCAAGCATATTCTAGAACCTTTTATAGAAGATGGCGTGGAGCCCATCTGGTCCTGGAGCTTTCAAATCTCCGATAGCAAATAGTGCTTTCTTTACTTCCTCCGGCGTGAACTGTGCTAACAGGCCACGGTTCATGTTAGCAGTAACCTTCAGCTCGACTGCATCAAGCACCGAATCATCAATCTCATGGATTTCAGACTGGAATAACTGAGTGAAGTAGTTCTGCACCATTGAGCACATGGTACCCCTCTCCTCCTGTCTGATCCCCTTGATCGTCCACTAGTCCTAAGACAGTGCTCCTCTTCTTTCTGCTAGATGCATACTGCTGAAAAAATTTAGTATTCCGATCCCCATGTTTTAGCCAATTTGCTCGGGCCCGTTGCACCCAAGTTAATTCTTCTTGTTCCATCAAAAGTTCTAATCGAACCAAGAGTTCCTTTTGGGCCGCCACATTATCATCTGTGAGTGGCCCTCGTCGTAAACTCTCTAGTTCCTTCTGCATCTTCTTAATACGATTTGTCGGTCCCTTCAGAACCTTTCTATCCCAAACATGCAGTTCCTCATGTACATGCATGGTCTTCTACATTAACGTCGGCTCCTCTCCTCTAGCCGCCGCACGCACCCATGCCGCTTTCACCATCTCCTCTATTGTTTCCTCCTTTAACCATCTAGCCTCAAATCTTTTAAAACCCCTCCGTTCATGATCATCATTGGTGGCCAGAACCACAGTATCAACAATCAATGGACGGTGGTCTGATTTGGTCATTTCCCCATTCTTCAGACGAGCTGTTGGGAACAGATCATTCCAACTAGCATTTGTAACACCCCGATCCAGTCTTTCACGTATTTTACCTCGCTGCCATGTGAAGATATCACCCACATAACCCATATCCGAGAGATTACAGTCTGCCAATGAGTCACTGAATGCCTGGATATGGCGCTGTGGTCTTGGCCTCCCTCCCTCCTTCTCATGGTGAAATAAAATTTCATTAAAGTCACCCAACACCAACCATGTCTTATTCATTCGGCCATGGAGTGACCTCAAAGCCTCCCAAGTTTTCTCTTTTTGGTCCCAAACAGGTTCACCGTAAATCCCAGTAAGCCTCCACTCATTCCCATCATTAATCACAACATCAATGAAATACTCCGAGATGTCTTGAGCCTGAACTGTAACATCTTTCCTCCAAAAAAGCAAAAGCCCCCACTGCGTCCATCACTTTCATGTATGATGTAATGGTCACAATTCAACTTCCTTCTCAGTTCTTCTGCCTTTGTCTTCCCCAAGTGTGTTTCAGACAGAAAAAACACATCAGGTCTCTCGCGCTTTTGGATTTCCAAAAGCGCATGCACTGCCCGGGCACTCGCGAGCCCGCAGCAGTTCCAACCTAGGATTTTCATTGTGCCCGGTCACTCTTCTCGAAGGAGAGCGCCGATCTTGATTTTGAATTGTCTTCCTCACCATCTTCACTCCTTCTCAACCTCTTCTTCTCCTGCTCCTTCAAGGGGCTTGTAGACGTGGTCAACTGAGGAGAATTTTCAAGCAAGCCAACTTGCATGGCTACTCGGCCTCTACCTTCAGCATCTAACCCCTCCCTTTTCCTGGTCAAAGAATTCTTCGGATCATCATCTTCCCCAAAGGAAGTATCCATCTCTTTTGTATCTTCATCGGTCCAAGTTCCTCATCCCCCTCCACGTCCTCGCCCTCTACCATGACCTCTACCTCTTCCTCCTCAATTATCTTCCCTTCCTAGCAAAGCCGGCAGAAAAGCCACCCGCAGCCAATCTCCCCATTCACAGTCCTCACTACTGGATTCAGGTTCTTTGTCGAGTGCCTGAGGCACTCGGCAAAGGCCAAATTGCACTCGGCAAAGCC